GCTGCCTGAAGGCCCCGCCAAAAAACAAAAAAAAGAAATCATCCCTTTACCACAGAGTGTGGGGTGTTTTTTACCGCCACCAATTAAAAATGTCAATTCAATGTCACCGTTTGCCCGAAACAAACGCAAGTAAAGGTTAAGCAAGAAAATGGTGGGATTTGGCACACCACCCCCCCAAAAAAAGAAAAAAAAAATCTCGCATCTCCTCCGTGCCTCTGCGAATGACTCGTAAGCCCACAGCGAAGAAGCGGCGGCGCGTTTGCCCGTCGCGGCAGACGGCGTCTTACTTTTTGCCGACTTTGGGCGGGCCCGGTCCGAGCTCGCTCCCGCAGCTCCCGCAGCTCGCGCGTGTGCCGCAGCAGCCGCGTCCTCTCCGTCTGCAGCTCGCCTTGCAGAAGGGCGATCTCCAGCTGCAGCTGAGAGCACCCCAAAAACCTCACGTCTGACCAGCGCTCGACACTCTGCGACGCCGACGGTGAGCTGAATTGCGCTCGTCCGCCATTGCCGCGGATGGCCGACGCACCGGTCAGGAAATCTGCCCGATGAAAAACCGAGTTGGCTGTCGCGGCAGCGCCCGGAGGAGGTGAGGCCGATTCGGACGCATTTTGTCGCCGTCTGAAGGTCTTTCTGCCGCAACCGCCGCGTTTTGCCGCCTTCTCACGGCAAGCCGGCGCGCACGGCGCCCGCTTGGCCGCGTGGCCGAGCGGGCTCGCGATCTATCCGTGACGGGCCGAAGGAACGCTCCTTCGGCCCGTCACGGATAGATCGCGAGAAAACTCGGCGGCGCGGAAGAAACCTTCAGAGCCAAATGGCCCAAATGTCCCCACCGAACGCACGGGGCGAACGGGGCTGCCGCGGACGCCGGGAATGAACATCAAGGACCGCGTTTCAAATTAGTCGCTGACTTTTGCCGCGGACGTCCGTCTTTGTGCCCCGCGAAAGCGACGTCGCCGAGTACAAAGTCGTTCCGCCAAAGACTTTTTGGGATGCTGAACGGTCACCATCCCTCCGATCAAATCGTGTCGGGAAACTATCGTAGAACTAAAAAAAAGAACAAATGCTAAAAAGCTCCACCGCGACTCCGTCTGTATGTCCAGCTTGTTTCATTCACTTCAACGAAAGGTCAGCTTACCTCGAGCTGAAGTTCTTCCTTCTGCCGGTCAAGCTCCGCGATCCGCTGAGGGAGCGCGGAGGGCGACGGCGCCACCCCGGGCGAGCCCACCTCGGTCCTTTTGACACCCCACTGAGAGAGACAAACGGACATTCAAAGCGCAAGAGCGTTAAAGACGCGCGGACGACATCCCGAGCCACGTCGGCGGCGGCCTTCGTCCGCCTGACCTTTTCGCCGTCCGTGCCGCTGCTCTCCGTGTCCGACTCCGCCCCCGAGGAGGCGGCGCCGCCGACCGAGCGAGCCGTCGGCGGCGACCGCGGCCCGTTGCGCCGCTGCCTCCTGGGACTCTCCGCGCCGCTTTGGGGCATCGCTAGAGAAGGGCGGAAAAGAGAGAACGCGAGGCCGACAAGATGACAAGACTTGCGCACGGCCGGTGGGAAAGTCCTTTTTGGACTCCTGCGGTGCAAAATGTTTCCGTGCGCCGCAGTTCTTCCTTATTAGGATGCGGCATCGACGCATGGGGGCTAAATATCCAAAAGTTGGTGCCTGAATGAAATGTCTGAACGCTCACTGGATGGATTTTCTTTTCAGTTCTCCCCCCCCCCCTTTTTTTTTCCCGTGTGTCGAAAGCATCATGTGAATTAGTTTGGAAGACTTCAGCCCATTGAACGACAGAATTAAGTATTGTGTTACTTCTTGGCTAATTTGATCATTTTAAGAATCGGTGAGGCGCTTTCACGCCCCGCTCGAGAGGCCGCAGCGGCCTCCGCTCATTCATCCGGAGTTGCCCCGTCACGCAAACAAACATCAGCTGACCTCCCGTAAAAGTTCAGTCAGAGACCAACTCATCGCCGGCGAAAATTTGGGAGCAAGGTCCGCGCTTGGTGTCAACGCGCTAACACTGCGAAAACACAACGAGACTCGGGATGCAAACTGCAGGCAAAGAAAGACGAGTCGGTCCAAAAGAGCCGTTTCTCCTTCAAATCGTTGGACTTGATTGCGGGGGAGGGGAGCGCCGCACGATAAGGAAGGAACGGAGTGACGCATAGTTCAACAGTCGAGCGACCGACCGCGCGAGTGCGTGCGTAACACGGCCGGGATTCGACCCGCACGCTGACGGCAGAAGGCTGCGCGTGACGTCGGCGCCGCTAATTATCAGGCGCAGACCAGCAATAAGCGGCAACGGCGACCCGGTGACTGACATCCTGCGCCTTTGCGCGGGTTCAAGAGTGCGAGCGGCAGATCGGAGCGCGAGAATGCTCCCGTTGCGCACCAACGCAACGCCGGCGCCGCTCCGCTAGCAACCGCTCAAGTTTGCGTCTTTGTCTTCTGAATCCTTGTGGAAATCGAGAGTCGATACGTTGCTTGAATTCGTGTCTTTCATTTGCACAAAATGGTCATCGCGCGTTCATCCGAAATGAACACACGTGCGGGGAAGGCGGCCGTCCAATGTTTTTCGAATGCCCCCTTCGACAGATGAGCTCGACGTTGAATCGAGTCATCGGGTGGCAATTGCTTTTGCATTCTTCAACGCGGCGGCGAGCGCGTGCGAGGGGCAGGTCCTATTTTTTCTCCACTGTGGGTCGCCATCCGTCTGACTTTTCAGGGCGCGCCCCGAGTCGTGGCGAGCTCCCGTCTGAAACCGACGACGACACGTTGCTCCTTGACCGGCGGCCGCGTCGATCCTTGACCGCTTCCAACGACGGGTTTGGGTTCGCGAGCTCGATTTAATGACCTGACAGGACTACGTTCCCTTCTTTTTTTGAGGCTTTAAAAGGCGGAGCCCGGCCGGGTGAGTGACGTGGGTGCCGGCGAATCACCGTCGAGGTTGCTCAGTCCGGGTGTCGAGCGACTCGATCCGAGTCGTGGCGAGCTCCCGTCTGAATCCGATGACGACGCCTTGCTGCTCGACCGACCGGCCGCGTCGCTCCAATGACGGGTTAGGGTTAGCGAGCTCGATTCAATGACCTGACAGGACTACGTTCCCTTCTTCTTTTGAAATGCTTCTAACGCGCACGCTTAGGGCGCAGTGTACGCATAGACAAAACGATAGCGTATAGATGAGACGAAATGCTTCTCACGCGCACGCCAAATCAATAGGAGGCTCAGGGCGCAGTGTACGCATAGACAAAACGATAGCGTATAGATGAGACCGGGACAGCAAAGTCTGATAAGACCGGAGGAAAGGCGGCGGG